AGATATCCAAATAATTGTGTTATTTTTTTTTCCAGAGAGGAGCAAGTTTCCAGGCGTGTGCAGACATTTTCAGAAATTTGGGCGCGTCCACAGATCAGGGTCCGAATAATTGACAAGAATTACAAGAAAGGAAATTATTATAAAAACAAGGTACATTTCGGAATGCTCATTTCATTACATTCTGATTTTTAATGTGAAAAGGCATTATCAACTGTATGAACAAGTCTTCTGTGGCACATAAAACCACCCTACTGTATTTCTTTGTTAGACAAAAAAAAAAATGTAATTGGTCATTATTTAATTGTGTAAATTCAGGTGCATTATTATTTTTCATAGGTGACAGTCTTAGATGTGCCTGGGCCAGAAAACTGTATATGTAAAACAGAGGATGGAAAAGTTTTGGAAGGTAAGTAAATTAAAACAAATACAGCATATTAAGGGGTACTGTGTAACACTGACATTTTTACACTGATATATTTGCCTTTCTGTTTGGTTGTATAATTTTAACAAAAAGATCCAATTTTAATTAAAACTGGGATAATATCTTTTCAATATATACATGTAATTACTTCAATGTTTCTTAATCTTGATTGAGTGATTATAAATTATACAGGCAGTTTCTTTTTACAGATTTGATATTTAATTTCTTGCTTTCAGGTCTCTCTCAGCTGCAGTTGGAAACAGTCATTCCTAAATCAGACAGGGCATTTGTATTGATTGTGTCAGGGAAATTTCGAGGACAGGTAGATTCCCAGAGTTATCTCCCTTAAAATGTGATTTGTAGAAGAAATTTGTCATTCAAGTTGCTAAATTAGGAACAACTTATTTCATTTTTTTGAAATTTATTTTATATACTACTTCTTGGAAAGAAATTTCTTTCTCTTCCTAAATTTCAATCTGAAACATTCTGTTTAAATTTTAAAACAATGCATGTACACTTGAAATTTGTCTTCTCATGTGAGACAAGTTAATACATGTACTTGATTTGGTCATTTATGCAGTTGTGTTTGCAGTTAAAAGCTTTATTTACATTCTTTTCCAGTTAGGAGAAGTTATGTCAAGGAACAAGAAGAAATCTACAGCTGCAGTGCAGTTATTACAAGACCGGGACAGTGTTCTAAACATTAGCTATGATCATATATGTGAATTTGTGGGAGATATTCAGGAAGAGTTTGATTATTGATATTGTCATTTCAAAAAGTCATGTCACTCATAAATTTTTATAATAAATTTTTATACTAAAAGTTAATGAGATCATTTTTGTTGATGAAAGGAAGAAGTTTTGGTTTAAAATGTCACAGGATTGCCATTTCATGAAAAATGGAGGCAAAAGGTCATCTGTTGTAGTTTATCGAGTAATCCATTCGAAGTCCGATTACTCTATAGAAGTTTCTTGTATTACATGTAAAATAACTGAATTGATGCATTTCTTTTAAATCCAGAAATATTAATAACAGACACAATAAATCATATATAAGTGAGTACTTGAATTAATGGAAAAGCATAGCAGAAGATGCCACTGAAATATAAAGTATGTTAGCAGTATTTATTAGTCTTTAAGAATGAAAACATTGATTACATGAAGAAATTCGTTCATCTTTGAATGTTTCCAGAGTTTGTTTTTTTTTTTTTAACATTCAGTGTTCACTAGGAACTTCTGTGGTTGCAAGTACCATATAATTTTCAATGGCCAATATTATTTAACATCTTCTGGCCCTTTGTCTCAAATTCTTGTTTGAAGCTAAAATTAGCATCAGATGCTTTGCATTCGATTCAGCATTATTCTGGGTTGAAAAAAAAAAATTCATGCTACAACAAAAATCAATATTTCATATATAGGCATATACTGTATTTAACTGAAATTTTGCACATCATCTTCAAATGAAGAATTTCTTTACTAAGACTTTTATTCACTTCATGTTGGTATTATATGTTTAAGGAGAATGATGAATCCTATTTTATTTTACTATTTATCATGCTGTAAACCAAAATTGTTGACCAAATTCAAGTCTTTACACTATAAAGAACAGAATTATTTGGTGGCACAAATCTTTTACCCCAATTTTGCAGTTTCTCTAATAGTGGAAAAATATTGTTTGATATGAATATATTTCATATCGTAATTTGGGTTGGGCACAAGTTCTAAAGACATAACACTCTCCTTATCAAGTCGATTACTGGACCTTTGACTTAAAATGAGAAAATGAAATTTGATGACCTACAATCATCATTTCCTTCTTATATATACAGCATGTTTATGTATCAGGGTGAGATATTCAACTTATAATATCTGGCCTTTACAAGTTACCAGTTCACAATATCATCATCTAAATATTCTCAAGTCATAAGTATTTTGACCTTCTATCAACATTGTTACACATACCACAAGTTCTGATATTGCTGAAACTATATGTATCGCTACAGCACATACCCGTATTTTATGTCTTCTCAATGGAAAGGTTAAAAACAAACACTTATTTAAACATTTAGCAGTAACTTTTAATGAAATACAACCAAAACAATAATATAACAATGTTAACATCTTGTTCTTTACCTGGTATCTACATGTGTATAATCAACAAGAAAAACATCATGTTCTTGGCATGTTTCTAAACTATCACAGTTCCAGCAACATGTTATTTACATGTCATTAAACATATCACAGACATCAGCTTTGATGATAATGGATCCACCATCAATTAAAAAAAAATTAACGATGAAAAAATAGTGAAAAATGATCAAATCATGTAAAAAACCAGATGTGGAGTATTATATTACAAACACAATTGCATCGATCATTTCAAAATGTACATGTAGCACGTACATGTCTTTTACTCTTACTATTTATCAAGATGCTTAAGCCCTCCTTGAACAAGAACAACCAAGTGTTATATTTTTTTCATCTGCTGAATTATCACAGTCCTTCTTCATAAATGTATGGCAGCACAATGTATTTTTTAAAAAAAACAACAAAATATTGCAAATTTTCAGTTTACTGGTTGCTCATATACAATATATGATTTTTAATACATGTAAAGGTAAAGCTTAAATGTTGTCAGTATTTTCATCATCTATTTCTGAGCTGATTTTAGCACCTGTTGGACTGACTATATTCCAGTACATCACCTCCTTTTAAGCTGGTTCTGTATTCTGTGGGACAACTCTAGGAGATCATCATCTACCTGCATTAGGTTCCTCTTATAGCTCTCATGTCTCTTTGTCAGAACATCCTGTGTTACCAAATGTACCAGAGTTAAAACACAGAATATATTAAAATCATTTTGTGAAAGATTTTTAGCCAATGGCTTAAGTAAGATACTCCATATTTATAAAAGTGATTGTATAATAAGAAGAGTATACCAGTTAATGTTTTATAGAGAATCATTTGCTGAGAGTTTTTAATCCATAAGGATGTTAAGTAAATGGATTCATGATTTCTAAATGTGCATTATCATAAGAAAATTATCTTGGTTGAAGGACTATTCTCAAAAGAAACAACCATGGCTTTTACCCCTCTATTCACTTTCCATCCACTTTCAGATGGCTGGTATCCAGGAGTAGAAGTGACTACAGGTTTTGTCTTGGGATGGGAGTCTACAAAAGATATTTTTTAGGTAATACTTTATTTTCCATGTTTTTTCTACTAATAAGTCATCAAATTTTATACTTTATACAACATATTGTAATATATGACAACATATTGTAGTATATGACATATTGAAGTATAAATATAAACATACACGTTCTAAAGTTGCTGAAGACAGATGAGGCAGGTGAATCTCGACGGAATTTTCTCTTGATCATGATTTTGGTGATGGACACAGAAGGAGAGGAGTCTCTGCTCTCTTCAGACTGAAAAAAATCACAAAAATGGCACTTATTATACCAAGTACAAGATGAGTACATGCCATTGATTATAATAATCATCCAACTGCAGCTGTTCATCAATCTGAAGAAAAGTATAATGTACCTCTCTGAAAATGGCGAAGACCAACTATGGTATCAATTCTGTTTATTTCATGTGAGGTTACATAGAAACCATTATTTATTTTTTTAATATATAAATTGTGATCTTAGCAGTCAACTCACCACTTCTTTGTCATTTTCCACCAGTTTTTCTCTTTTATTAATTCTGGAGATGGGATTTCCATGTACAGTTTTAAGGAAGTTTGAATTCTCCTCAGAAAATTGGAAAACATCAGTACCTTTGCCAAATTTCTTAGATGGGGTTCTGACATTTGGCCTTACAGTTCCATAGTTATAAGCAGGTTGCCTTGGAACATGACAGTCAGCTGATGGAACAAAATTCTTTGACAAACTAGTGTGACTTTCATGGTCTTGTGTATTATACCTGGGTTTCTTGGCATATGACGGAACAATGTCACGCTGAGATTCATTTGAAGAGCAAGTTAATTGTTGACTATCAAAAAAGTTCTGAGAGGCATATGCAGGAACACTGCTGACATGGCCATTTTCTGAACTGTTCTCTGAATTCTGTGAAAATCCTGCAATTCTCTGAGATCTTCTTTTGGGCACAATGTTTCTGAACTTGTCGTTTTTCCTCTCTGCTCTTCCTTGAGTCATTTGTGCTCCATTTACTGCCTCGTAGTCTTCCTGGGATTCCTTCCCAGCTCTGGACTGGCCTCTCCCCTGAGGTTGTGGTAGAACTGTAGCAACAGGAGAAGGGTTTGGCCTCTGGAAGAAAGTTTTGCAATGACTCTGGTTTGCATTGGTGTCAGGGGACATAAAATCTTGTTGGGTAGATTTCTGCTTTACATCAGACGTTAATACATTACTATTTCCCCTGGATGGATTTTCATAAAACTGTAGTTGTTGAGGATCCATCTTCCTGATCTCATCATTCTCTTTCTGATGTTTAACAAAACCTACTGCCTCTCTTTCTGTTTGTATTGGAACTGCAGATCTACATTTCCTATCATTATATGACTGTGTATAATCTTTGTGCTTTATGGTGAAGGAGTCGAGAGATTCCTGACTGGACTGGTTTCTATGTGCTTTCTGTAGTTCAGCTTTCAGGAATGCTTTCAACTCTTCTTGCTGCTCTTTCATTGTATCATGAAGGAAATCTTTTTGGATGTTGGCCACACTGCTTGAGGTATTACAGATGGTTTTGGTTGATCGGCTCACTTCACTCTCTATTTGTTTGGTAATGTCTTCGGTTTGCTCATCACTACTCTTTGTTAACAATCCTTGAAAGAATTCTAGAGCCTCCATTTTCTGGATTTCCAGTTCTCTTCTTATACATTTTATTTCTTCTGCAAAACTGCAACTAAAAAAAATAACTTTTCTTTCATCTCATTCAAACACCAACTTAACTCCTAAAGGTTTCTTCATAATCAGGTATCATTTAGTACTGAAGTACTTCAATCTTTTCATTAATTGTACATGTTGTATATCCAGTCTGTTTAATATCTTGAAAAAGTTTTTGCACCTACAGTCACATTCATTTATTTCAACATAATGATCTTCACTTACAATGACTTCATTAGTTTTATTCATTTGACATTTATTGTATACCTGTTGTTTTTCCCCATTTTCTTTGGCATGTTATCCAGCCTCTGTTGCAGTTCGCTATGGTTCTGGTTCCCGACATTAAGTTGCTTCTCTTGCCCCTCTAGTATCCTCTGCTGGTTCTCTGTGATGGTCTGGTTGCTGTCTATCAGAGTCAGTAGCTGTTTGTCCATGTGTTCTCTGTTCTTGTGAATGACATCGGTCACTTTCTCCATCGACTGCTGACACCCTGCTTTTTGATGTTGCTCCAACTGCTTCTGGAGGTCAGCTATCCTGGCTTGTTTCTAATCAAAAAAAAATTTAGATGATAAAATGTTCCTTTTTTTTTCTTTTTTGATGCACTAAGATACATATCTACATGTATTTGTCAATGATATTAAATACTCATTTCTGTATTTTAGGATATATTTCTGTGTATTCAAAATTCTGGCAAAAATACAGGTCATGAATTGGTTTTGTCCAAAAATCAAGTTCTATCAGTGTTCATGCAATCATATTTCAGCTGTATAGTCATGAATTCTATATATTGTCTGTCAAGTGTGTTGAAAAAATCTTAATGTGAATCCTGCTATTAAAATACGGGTAAGTGCAACCATAAGCAACAGTCTCAATTAAATTTTTCCAACTCTTTCTGACTATTCATTCTATTAGGGGAAAAAAGCCTGCACAGTCATAGCCAATCCCCAACAAAAAGATGTTATTAAGACAGTATTTCATATATTTTTTGCATTTAGTGAAAAACTGAATTTGACATTACAGTTAATATTTTCATGTTCACTTGACATTTTGCTGTACATGTTTTGCATTTAACACCTTTGAAACCCCTCACCCATCCTAGCTCCCCCCAAAAAGACAAATGTACCTCATCTATGATTCCTTTCATTTCACCAATCTGGTGTCTAGCATCTTTCTGGTCTTGAAAAGTCAGAAGAATATTTTCAAATTGCTCTTGCAGATCTGTTTGAAAAAAAAAAAATAATACGTGAAAATGAGGATTTAAATGAAACAAGAGGCCTATGGGCCACAGCGCTATGAGTCAATATGGCCCTGTTGTTCTTCATCAGCAGATTTCTTCTCCTGTATCATATGTAAAGCTTTGATCACCTGTCATGATTTGAACAAACTTGAATCTACACTACCTGAGGATGATTCCATATCAGTATAACCAATTGTGGCTCTGTTGTTCTTGAGAAGAAGAGTTTTAAAGATTTTTCCTATATATTCTTATGTAAACTTTGATCCCCCATTGTAGCCCCACCCTACACCCGGGTGTCATGATTTGAACAAACTTGAATCTACACTATGTAATGAAGGTTTCACATAAGTTTCAACTTTTCTGGCCCAATGGTTCTTGAGAAGATTTTTAAATGACGACACCAAATTTTCACCAATTCTTAATTATCTCCTCTTTGCAGAGGGTGTTGCCCTTTATTTGAACAAACTTGAACCCCCTTTACCCAACTTCATTTGAACAAACTTGAACCCCCTTTACCCAAGGATGCTTTGTGGCAAGTTTGGTTGAAATTGGCCCGGTGGTTCTGGAGAAGAAGTCGAAAATATTAAAAGTTTACAGATGGACGGACAGACAGCTAGAAGACGGACTACAGACAAAATGTGATCAGAAAAGCTCACTTGAGCTTTCAGCTCAGGTGAGCTAAAAAAAATTCTTTCCCTACCAAAGAAAGCAAATGATCTGCCTCTCACTGCACATTAAATGCATCAAATTTTACCATAATGATGTCACAATGACAAATTACTCATTTCCCATATAAATTATGCCTGCCTCCTTATATGTACATCTAACTTAAACTGAGCTGTGTAATGAATATTGATTTTATTTGAAACATATTGGAACTTTTCACAAGATTTAAAAAGAATTGCTAGGTGTCCTGAATAGATGTGTATCAATTCATTTAACTGATGCACCTCTTTGGAGAGAATCATTTTTTACCCATGATTTTCAAGGAATTCGCAAAAATTATATGGAATTACTCCTATTATAGTCCAGGTATAATGAATATTACTGAAAATTCCACTAGTCGATTGGGCTAGTGTTGACTACACACTACCTACATTCTACTAGCCTGACCAAATTTTTACTAGTGTTCGTTCATTGGCTAGTGCTTTTGGTGCACACTGGTTCCTGAATGCTCTGAGAAAATGGATGTCGAGCTAGCATACCAATTTTATAGATCAGTGAGCTAACATATCTGCATCTTTTATTTGATTAGGATAATTTGCTACAATACTCTGTAATTATATATAAATTACTTATAAAAAGTATGGAATCAGGTGATAGACATATATCCCTAGTCATGAACGTCATAATTAAATATATGGGACCTAGTCCACTGCAAGCTCTCCCAGGGCCTTCTCCAAACCCCTCCCAGTGTGCTAGAATCATTATGAACAGACAATGCCGCAAAGACCTCATACAGAAAGAGAATTTATCAAAGTTTTAAAAAAAAGCTAGCTTAAGATATCTAAAGTTAAGGCTCAATGAAGACATTTAATTTCCTGTCATGGTTTCCCAAATTAACCAAAAACAGCATTCCAAGTTGTTTGGTTCCATTTTCTGGATTTTGTTTCGGGTTTGGTTTGTTTATTAAAATCTGCTTTATAAGAAAAATGCGAAAGAATAATGACGATAATAGGGAAAAATAAACATCACAACTTAAATCTACTTCATCCATGACAAAACATTTGTCAATGAAAGATTGGATAATTATTGAAAGGAGCAAGAGTGGTCATATATTGTCTGCACTTATAATAGTCGGCCTAGTAGTCCTAAAACACCAATCACATGACATTTACATGCTCATGACTTTTCTTTTTTTTAAGGTGAATTAAACGTAACAAAGATTTTTCAAGTTTAATTTATGAAATTGAAGTTTAAATTACATTTAAAGAACCAATCTGAAAAACCGAAATTGAACCGAAAATTTATTGAACCTACCAGACCTGAAAAATTTTGGAACTGAGATGACCCTGGTAGATATTCGTTGTATCTTCATTTATGATACAGATGAATTTTTATTTTTATACTCACTGTCATTAATCAGTTTTGTAATGGAATCTCCAAACATCTGCATGTGTTCTCCCAAGTAATCTGGCATGACTTTCATGGCATTTTGAACCTAAATCATAATTTCTGTGTCATATATATAATAATAAAAACAAGAGGTCCAAGGGCCTTATAGGTCACCTGAGTATCATGTAACAACTTTCCAACAATTGAATTTGGTTTTAAACCATAGGCCATGAAATTCAAAATTTTGAAAGAGGCATAAATATACACTTAGCATGCTTACTTTGATTACTTAATACCCAGAGACAGAGCAGAGGAATAAAGAAAATATGCATTTCCGCTATATAATCAGTAGTGCCCCATCCAACAGGAACCCCTGACCCTGGGGCCACACATTTCACAATTTCGGAAAAGGCACCCTTGCTCATCATAAATGTTTGATTAATACCAAAGAGCAGATTTCAAAGCATTAATTCATTTTCAGTATATAATCATTACACACACACCCCCAAGGGCCTTGAAATTCACAATTCTGGAAGAAGCAACCTTCCTCATCATAACTATGCATTTAGTTTGTTTGCATAATACCCAGGAGCAGAGGAGATGTTCAAAGAATTAATGCATTTTCCCTACATAATCAATAAAGCCCCACCCTAACCCCAGAACCCCTGACCCTGGAGCCATAATTTTGGTAAAGGACTCAATGCTTATTACAATCATGCCAATTAACAGTTTAAGAAGATTTTTAAAGATTGCATTAATTTTGGTGGTTTTAGCCCCACCCCTCAGGCCCCAGGGACCATGAAATTCACAATTTTTGTTCCCTTTCAATTTGGCTATTTGCCAAAATTGGTTGAAATTGGTTCAGTGGTTCCAGAGAAGAAGCTGATATTGTTTAAATGTTAACACATATTGCATGACGTACGATGCATGGCGGCAGACAAAAACAGATAGCAATAGGTCGCCTGAGTGACTCAGGTGACCTAAAAATTGACATGCAAATGGTTTTAATTTGTTGGTATGACCAGGTGCTATTATACCACCAACACATCCAAATATAAATCATTTACTAACCTCTTCTGAACATTCTTTTACAGTCTGTGATATTGTCTGCATCAGCTCCCTGAAAATAAAACTGGTCAGCAATTATTTGATCTCATCAAGAGGATCAAATATACTGAAATTTAATTAAAGCTCCATATTTGTATTCTAGCTGTTTTCCAAAAACGAGGATGTTTGAATTTCAAACAAAATGGTAATTTAAGAAGCATATTTTGATAAAGAAAACTTAAATAATTTTTTTTTTCATATTAAAAAAAAAAATGACAGATGATTTTTAGATAAACAATTTTCCAGGAATAGTTAAAAAAGAAAAAAAAAACATTTTGATTCAGTAAAAAAAATGTCATTGATTTATAAGATAATATGTTCTATTAATTTAACATTCAAGATCATTGTGTCTTATCTGAATTTTAATTAAGCACAATAAAAATACTGAGCCTTTAGGATCTACTTAAACCCCTATTCCCTCTTTATATACCTTTCTTCATTTTCCTTTGCTTTGAGTCTGTTGTTCTGATACTGTTGCTGGAACTTTGGGCGCCCTGGGGCTGAAGACACACTGGACATAGGCTTCATCAGAGATGCAAGATTTTTGTTACCGCTACTCTGCGGTGTGTTGTAACTGTCAAACATTTTCCTTCCTTGGGACAACTGCTATATATAATATTTCATTTAATTACTTGCTGCAGGGACTGAGCCTCCTGCCCCATCAAAAATTTCATTTTTGCCAATACATACATGTGCTATTCAAAAGAAAATAAAGGTAATTTGTGATGGTGTCCTTTCAAAAATATCACTTTTTTTCTTTTTACTTTTTCTTTTTTTGGTCAACAATCTATTTTTCCTCAAGCTCAAAGGCTTCTCATTTTATTCAAATTGAAACTTCATTTTTTTTTTCATTTTTATTTTAATTTTAAATACACCTCTGATGAACCACTGCTCAAGTTGAATCCATCTAGACCCTGTGAAAATTCTTGTGATTGAGTGGAGATCTGTTGAAAGCTGGACTTGTCATTCTTCTGACTGTTTACAATTAAAAATATACTATCTTTATAATTCATAAGTAATTTATCAATATTAAAGCATTTCAAGTCAGTGCAAAAATTAATATCACTGCAATACAAAAATCAGAGAATGGTTCCAAATAAGGCTTGATTTCTTGACAAATTATATTATGCAATACAAAATTTCAGAAATGTGAATTGAAAATATGTATTAGTAATTTATCATCGTTTAAGGTTCTATATTCTAGACATAATGTGATAAACTAATAAAAATGACAAGATTTACACTATCTAGTTGATGAGCATTATCTTAGATTTACAGAATGTGCAAGAACCAAGCAGTTGGCATGGCATGCATTGACAATATAATAGCTAAAAAACAGTTATATACCTTTTGTGTCCACCATATAGAAAAAGGTCTCTTCTTGAAACATGGTTCGAAAAAATGCTTTTCTTCATATTTTTTTTCCAATGCTGGTGTGAAAAAAAGAAAATAGCAAAAATAAGTAGGCCAAATTAAAATTTGAATGAAATAAATTTAATGAAAATTACAATGTAATTAAAACCAACGGATCCGCTCACATTGATCGTTACTTACACATCTCAATATGTATATATTTAGATCTGAGCGGATCAAAGGATCTAGATAACAATGAAATTTTGTACTAAGGAATCTATTATATATATTGTTATGGGACAATTAAAAACTTGGAGGTATGAAAATAAAATTATAAGATTATACGAACAAGATTTCGTCATCATAACTTTTTTCATGACATAAAAATATTTTTTCCCGAACACCCCCCCCCCTTTTTTTTAAACAGTGACGTTTACATTCAAATAAAATACTTGGTCAAATTCTTTTTTTCAGTTAAAAAAATTTACTCCTTTTGTAATCACTAACTTTTCTTTTGTGAGTTCGTTAAATTATGCAGACAGCACAACGTATCACTTCTCCAGCAGACGAACTGTAACCGGAAGTGATGTGTGACAAGCACCTTGTGCCCATTGTAAGGACGAATTTCATTGGACAATAACGATGAGTAGCTACGGCCAACTGGATGTGTTTACATCGCCATTGCAGTAGTCGGTGCACTTGGATACTCGATATTTTGCCGATGAAAAAAGGCTGAAGTGTAATAATTGAAAGCAAAGAAATATTAGGTGTATTCAAGGCTTAATGCTATGCATTTAACGTAAAAGGCTGGGTGTATGGTGAAATCAGACATGACCTGCGCCACAGAAGTTGTAGGCAGCTGGGTAAGTTAATTACCCTAATTAGTAAGATAAAACTCTTCGTTACAGACTTGAGTGTCAATTCATTGATAAAGTCATTTGATGTTTATGTTGTCATTGGTTTATTAGTCCATTTTTTCTTAAATTTTATCCTCATCATGAGTGATAAAGTTACTCGGTATAGCTTCCTTTATCCGTCAATGGCAATGCCAATGGTAGTCAGGTACATAATGCGCCCCACGTGGAAAAAGAGTGTGTGGGTGGGAGGGAAGGGGGGATAGGGTCAGTCTGTATTTAGTATGAAACAAATCAGCTGATAATTTGTCTTGTAGCCTTAGGACATCAAAGAACTACAAAGAGGATTAATTTACTTGCATCTTTTGTCTCTTGTGTCTCATTTTGTGATGTTGTACCAATTAGTGTCTCATTTTGTGATGTTGTACCAATTATAGTGTCTCGAAAATCATATTTATGGTTTGAAATAACTTAAGCATGTTAAGTGGAGACAGCATTGGCAATAGAAGTATATTAAACTGCAGGATGTGAGATGTATTAGTCTGAATTTGAAAGAAAAAAAAAACTCGTAATCATTTTATATTATTTTATTATATATTGTACGATTAATAACATTAATAATTTGTATTTATGATGGATTAACTGTTCAATCATGCCAGAGTTCCAATGCTGGTTGAATGATATGAATGGTGGGCAAACAGGAAGGATAAGTATTTGATATAACATAGCGGAATTCCAGTACAGACCACATGGGTCACGTTGAGAGTACTGTATGTTAATACATGTACATCCCAAATATCTGAAGGTATTCCAGGCTTTTTCCCCCCACAGTTTTGATATTTGACGTGCCAGGAAAACCATGTGAAATATTAAAAGCATGAAAAAAGCATGGAAAACTTCAGAAAAAATTTGAAAGAGTACTACACCTTATTGAGATGTACAAGGGTATTGATAACACTTCTGTCCCCAGAAATGAATAGCCTGGTACCCAACTTGCCCTTTATTAATAAAAGAGGGATTTTTCAAAGATGAATATTAATACAAATTTTGAGCAAAACTGCATGTACTGTTTTGCTTAAATTCTTATCATTTTTCTTTTTTTTTTTATTTTTTGGTTATAAATAACTTCGCATTTTTAAGTTGTTTTTCATTTTCCTACATTTCAGTTTCCAACTGGTTACTATGGGCATTTCCGGAGTAAGACAAGAAATGATTTTGTATGTGAATACAGACAGGTAGCAAAGCCACAGCCTCCAAAAAAGTTCTTCAATAGGTCAAAGGTATAAATGTTTTCAGTGTACTTTTGTAGCATTCGCCATTGATTGGGTTAAGTGGCTTTATTGTTGCTCATTTTCAGGGCATTTTTTTTTAGAACAAGGTTTTATTTTCCAAAATTTGAATACATTCCTGATATTTCCCCAGGGGGTATCATTTTCCAGAAGCATATACTAATAGCCTTATACATTGTTATAGACAATTGATTCAGTCTAAATTTTTGTTACACAAATATCTAATTTTATTTTTAAAGGGGAACCAACATTTTTTGACCACTAAAAAATGCAAGAAATTAAAAGTAATTTACGTTTTAGCTGTCTACATTTGAATATCGCTGCAGAATTTCATATTAATTATTAAAGAATGCACTGTTAACTTGTCAAAGTGGTCTGATTTACAACTTTTAAAAGAGCGAATTTTAAAGTAAATATATAGTTTGGTTCGGTAGCAACCATGTAGAGTTTTCTTTGTGTGATTTATAGCAATGTGTACATAACCATATTATTTTCTGCTCTCTGGGGGGACAGATAGACAAATTACCTTCAGAATATTGTAATCTTTGTAATAAATAAGAATGTATCCAATCACTGTCTAAATGTGAAAACAAGCATTGTGATGTAAAAAGAGCTGAAAATGTTTGTGTAAAATTCAGTTCAATAGGTTCTTTGACTTTACCTTCAATTAGATAAAATAAATAAATTCAATATAAAAAGCCTCTGGTATATTACAAAATCTGGCCAGAAAATAATAGTGTTCACAGTGAAAAAGAACAGATCGTTTCAAAACTTTTAAAGGCAGCAGTCTTACAAAAATGGCATAATGTATATTACTGTACTGTTTGTGCATTAATAGAAACTGTCAAAAATTCAAAATTAATTACACGTATAAACTTTTATTATAATATAGGAGCATCTTGATTGAGTTGTACAAGTTTACTCTCAGAAAATTTGTCTTGGTTTTTGTGGGAATGCCATGATTATTACATTGCTGCACATCTGAGTATACAATACCTACATTTTGATCATTTAGACAGATTCATTTGTTCCAGGGATTTAAACTTCAACATGTTGAAAACTGATCCGCATTTGTTAGTTTGATATTTATACAGTAAACACTGTAACCCAGTGATGTACCTGTATGTACACTTGTATTTGGATAAAAGAATGATAAATAAACAAAGTATACCCAGAGACACAAAAAATTGAAAGGAAACTTTCATGTCATTGTATTGAAAAAGCAGGAAATTCAGGACCAATAAGATCACAATATGTCAGGCCAATAGGAATTACTATAAAATCAATACTCAGAGAGGGGTTATTGAAGAGTTAATGACCAAAGGCCTATTTCATCAATATACATTGTTAAATAATAGATGCCAGTAACATCATATTGAAATATTGATTTGAAATGTTTGTTTTTGAGGTTGTGAATAATTTATCTCTTGTTGACAGAGAGTCATTTTTGTTTGAAAAGATATTTAGAAGTGGTACTATCAATTTCCGTAACTTATAATTAATGAATTGTACATGTACAGAAGAAGCAGGTCTAATTGTAGCTAAAAACTTTGTAGTCATTGAATTCAAAATAGAATACAGGCCTTTCAAAATGTGCCAGTACCCGGTACTTTTCCCGACTGAAATCATAAATGTACCGGCTAAAATATTCGTTGGAGAAAAATTTAATAACACATTTAATTAAAATTGCTTCCACAAGGTACCTCCTATTTTCTAATCTTTTTGAAAGCCCTGAGAATATCATTTTTTTTCTCTATGACAAATGTGACCTACCAAATGAAGGTGGGACAGATGTCAGTGTAAACAGAATGTTCAATCTTTTAAATGATGTCCTACAGACTCGATTGAATGCACCTTCATTTATTTCTCCAAAATTGTTTTGGAGCAATGCTGCAATTTTCTGCTACATTTGGGGTATATGGGAGGCATTTTAACTGGGGTGAGGGCCATTCTGGGTAGTGTAAAAATGTTCATAAGGGGTCAGCCTCTCTCCCCCATAAGAAAAAAAAAATGTGTGTGTCAGTTGTCATTTCATTTTTTAAAGGGTTGCTCCCCCCCCCCCCCCCTTAACTAGAAATGCTGGATCTGCACCTGTTTATTAAAACAGAATTATTGTTTGTGCTTTCTAATTGCCTTATACCATAGATCTAGTGAATTGTGTCCTGTGAATATGTCATTGACTTTATATAGTTTAATAAAATCCAATCAAAATGACTTGATAGAGAATGATAAAATGAAATTTAAATCTCTCTCTATTGACAAGGTTAAAAATTAAACATTAATATTATGAAAGTAATGTTTATCTTTTTAAATATCACTTTGATTGTGAGAAGGAAAAATGTGTTTATTGAAAAATAAAGGGATCTGACAAACTACATAGGATTGTCATTTGCATTTTCAAGTGTACTGAGCTTAAAACTAGCACCTAGATATATGGCATTATGAAGTTGAGAACCTATCTCCTAGACCCAAAGATTACCAATCAATAAAGCGTATTAGAATAGCTCTGTAACGTTGAAGTTTACTTTCTTTACAAAGCACTAGGACAGGCTCCTTTTTACTTGTTATCCGAGTGTTCAGTATTTGATTAGGACAACTTTTATAATAGATTTGCCCCCGTATTTACTTGGTATATGTGTGTGCTATGTGTGGGGTTTTATTAGAGGCTAATCAGACATAGGTACAAATTACATTACAAGTATATACTGCTAATAGCGACAGAAAAGAGGTTGATATAAGCTTTTTTGAATTGAGATTATATGCTTGAAGGTTCTATCTATTTTGTTTGTTAAGGTTTTAAATTGCACAATATATTTGTGCACTGAACATTTTATTTGTTTAATAAAAACAAGTTAATTGTTGTTTCAGACATAGACAGTCTTAATTCAATAATTGTTTGTGTGACGTGGTTATCGACTTTAAATGTCTTGTGAATAATACCGAGTAGTCTTCTGAAACAGTTTTTGGATGCACAGACAAAAAAAAACAGTTGATGTGTACATGTATAGTCTGACAATAGTTGGGTGCATTAATATTTAGCTAATTTGAATTTTACCCTCCTGCATGAAAGCATTTGCAGTGAAGAACTTCTCTTTACCAATCAGTTTTAAATGAGTGAACTTACATAATCATAATGATAAATTTTATCAATTTTTCAAAACATGTTGTTTGTAACATGTGTTTATTAGATAGGGAAAAAAACATGAAATATATTAAGTGGAAAAGTTCACGAAATAAATCATATTATACAGTCATGTATTTCCATTCAGCATGAAATTAAAAGGAAGGGACATAACTCTCTACCCTAAAATTAGATAAATGTAATGATGAGAGGCTAGAATCACAATCATCTTCTTTACTTGGGGTACCCTTTAAATGGAAAAAGAACACAGCAAGGTTAAACTGAATGTTTAATTTCAGTATAAATGATTTAATATTTTGTTAATATAGACAAATTTTAAACATTAGTATCACAGAAGAAAACAAAACACTGAACAATCTCTGTTTCTTCTGATTAAAACTTAATTTTATTTGACTGTCTAAAAACTTTGCTTGCTGCATTTCCCGTTAACACACCACTGAACTATTTATATATTTGAGTTGTTCATCAGAAGCATTCATTTATATAATACAGTAATTTTTCTGCTTCAGCAACCTACAGCGAAACATGTGTTTTCTAACCACGACAACAGAGAATCTTTCCTAAATGATGCCCTGTACTTTGAACAAGTAAGAAATATAAAGTTTACAGTCAATTAAGAAGTGTTTTTGATTTAATTGTTTTAAAATTTCCAAGGGTATGAACATATTAGCTCAAGAGTTCTCAGGCAGGCTTATTTTCATGAAGGTCAATCTTTAGCACTTCATGTAAAATATGTCACTTTGTGAGATATGTCAAAGTTCATATCCCTCATGAACATATAATGAAGGCCTCATCATCATTTTGAAATTTCGTGATATAATTTCATCTAACAGTTAAAAAAAAAATATAGTCCTGTTAATACATGTAGAATTTTGTATTGACGGTATTAAAGAACATTGCAAGTATACATTGTACAAAATGCATATGACTTTTTAATTTTGAAATATCATATGCAGATTTACTAAATGGCATCGTTATTTCAAAAAACAGTCAAACCTTGTTATCTGGAACTTGATGGGACTGAAAAAAAACTTGGAGATATCCATGAATTCATGTTTTCAAGGGTAAAATACTTAAAGAATAAGGGAATGGGACTTTCAAATCACTTATCTCATATCCATGGTATTCGAATATCAGTGTTCGAGATAACTTTGTTCACCTGTATCAATCTTTTTGGTACTGTTTGAGAAATGAATTATTTATTTGATAAATAAATGTAAACATCTCTCATGAAACGTTGCTTATGATACAGTATATATCTCATTAACCAATGGATGCCAAAATTGCCAAGACTGAATTTTTTTCTCTGAATTCAGGGTTTAGGACGTAAGAGGGCACCAAACAGGGCATATAGCTTCAAGCAGGACTTTATAACATGGATGCCAGAAAGGGAATATGTTCAGCGAACGATGCGGCCTTTGGTGTCAACGTACAAAATGGACTTCAAAACTGGAAAAAATGTACCTCAAATCTATGTGAAGAAACCCCCGTCCTCTTTTGAAGGGGTAACAACATCATACAGATATGCACACGGTAGTGAGACGGCCGACCCAAACAAAAAAATGATCAACTGTATGAACAATGAGGCCCTTAAACTTAGTTTGTTAAATAGGAAAAATCGTGCCATGTCTGCAAGAGGTACAGTTCGTGAAACCGTGGCCTCCTGCATGAACTGGTACAACCCAGCAAGAGATCGACCGAAAACCGCGTTTCAAAATGAATCCATGTCGGCAGCAACTCAGACGACAATGTTACAACCCCACCCTCCCTCTGAACCAGCCCCTCACAGGGTAGAAACAGCCCCACCGGCAGCACCAGAAAGGCAGGAAACAATGGCACCGTCTAGAGAGGCCACCATGGTTCTACCAGAGCCTGTTAACCGACAACCTCAACCGACTATTGCATGGGCACCACCACAGCCAGCCGCTGTAGAAGTGGCGTGTGCGTAAAACAACTGATTAGGGCTGTATAGTAGACTGCACACTTACACTAAGAGCAGTCCCTGTAAATGTTTATTGGACAGAATGAATGTTGTTTTTATCTAATCAGATGTTAAGTGTGGTAGCTTATGTCTGTACTATACCAAAGTACACTGTAGTTTCAGGAAAAAATGACTTAAGGTCAAGATCTAGTAAATAAGGTTGCCTACAGATTTCTTAAATTTGAGAAATTAATTCTCTTTAAAGTGATGCTTCATAGCTATAACACCATAGTAAAATAATGTGTCAAGGAACATAATTTTTCACCAACACAACGAATAATTTTTTTAAACTGTCATTTTCAATGATAGCTGAAGAAATCCACATAAAATAAATATGGGAGATTTTTCTAATATAAGACAAAGGAAATGTATCCAGATTTCTACAATCTATCAGAAAATGGTCATTTATATGTTCTTGACCTCTTCTTTAAAATCATTGGTTTTGATATGATATCAAATTTAATTCCATGAAAATGCTTCCCTTTCTTCATAATTCAATTATGGTGGTAAAGTACACAAAAAAGTAGGTTTAAATTGATTTTGACATGATAGTGAATCTAACACCAAAAAGACAGTCAAAACTCACTAGATCTTGACCTTAAAAGGTATATTCATGAGCATTTCTTTTTTTAAAATTTTACAAGTCTAGAATACTGTACACATGTAAACTCATTACTCAGATGTAAATTCATTGGTTTATGTTAACTTTTTTTGCCCCATTATGTGGAGTTACCTCATCCTGTTGGAGGCTAATATGCAAATTCAACAAGACTGCTGAAGCTTTTTGTGAAAATTTTATATCATGTTCAAAGTGATTTGGATATATGTGATATATTTTAGGACTTGATGTAATTTTTTAAAGAAATGTTACACTATGTCTTGAATGATCTGAAATATTTTGTTATTTTATCAATGTTTTTTTTTTTATATATATATTAGTTATATATAATTAGGTTTCAATTTGACCTTAATTCTGAATTCATTTAAATTATATGGAATACTGGTCACCAGCTATTATAGAAATTACAAATTACTTTGAGGAAAGAGTACTAAATTTCTTATAAGGATTATCTCCCTTACCTTAGATACCATAAGTTAACAGTGTTTTATTTATTTATTTTTTTAAGTTATTGTGTTGCAGTGTTGAAAAATGAATGAACAATTAAAAAAAAAGTAGCAACAATTTTTCTTGAAGATGTATCCTTTGAACATCTTTTGTATTTTGTAATATGTTGTTCAACAATGAACAATGTAGCTACTTAGTGGTCTGTTCTCTTCATGTGTTCTATAGGTCTTTGTGTACATCATTGTAGATTCATTCAGCTGCATGTTTAAATCTGTTTGTAGCATTTCATTCTTAAATAATACAGAAATCTTAGTGTGCTTAACATTTAACAAAGTGTATATGCAGAATTTTTTTTTTTGCTAAATCAGCATGAACGTTTATAGATTTGATGTCACAAAAGATAAAAGTAACACAGAAGTCATTGTGATTTAAGAACAGAGAAAGGGAACAATTGATAAAAGACAATTGACTTAGGAAATCTTTTATGCTATATTGTGGAATCATCATTGTTCGTGGGAGTCAGTGTTCGTGGGTAACCAAATATTTGACTGGTTCGTGGGGACATAATTACTTGGGTAACTTGCATATTTTATTAAGATAAATAAATCAACTGTGCTCAATGTTTGTGTTTCAATGTTTGTGAGAATGTTAAATCATGGGTAAGGGCTACCCATGAAATCCACGAACAGTTATCCCCGACGAACAATGAAGATTCCACAGTATAACATAAAAAAATAAGAATATGACGTAATTAGGACAATTTTACTGATAATGTGTATTTTCCTGTTTTGCTGACAAAAAATAATATGACATAAACTCAAGCTCTTGATCCTAGAAACAGTGTTTGAACTGAATTTTTCTCTACTTGTTGCTTCCTTTGATGTGAATTATACAGTTTGTGTCACTTTCCGATGTGACATAAATTTAAACATGTGATCTAAACATGTAAATCTATGGAAAGTCCAACTATCAGTTGTTACATGTATGTAATAATTAGCAAGTACTTCAGTTCTTTTTAAATGATTTGCTCAACTCTACTAAAAAGTATTAAATATATTAATTAGATTTAATTCACATCTTAGCTATAGAGAGCTTATGAATTATACATTGTAAACTGTTTATATACTCATTTTGTTGTTGTACAGTACGAAAGCTTTTATTAAAATTTATTTACTGCTTTTCATTCAATTCCGTCCAGAAAGTAATTACTAGTATGTATTTCATGAATTGCTGTTTTTTTCTATTTGTTTTTTTTCTATTTGTTCTAGTAATTTATCAGTTATTGATACTGCAAAGACATTTACTGTCATCAAAGCGCATGTATACATGTGTTTAAATAGAAGAGAGATCTGACATTATTTTAAATTCAGAATATAAATCCAATTCTAAGACTTTGGTGCACTTTAGTATTACATGTATTGCAGTATTAAAAAAGGAGAGTATTGCTTTTGGGTTTTTTTTTAATCTTTTTTATAACCTCAGATAAATGTACTGTCATTCGAATCATTTTGACAGGGAGATAACTTTTGTGAGTTCTGTAATATTCCAAACAAATAAGGTAGAAATCAGTTTCAGCTTGAAAATATTTGAACTGACATAGAACAAGAAATGCATGATTCTTATCCATCGGAAACTCAGTTGTAGAAATGTCATGTTATGTACAAATAACAAATGATTTTTGCATTTATTTTATTTTTCTTTACTTTTTTTTTCATTTTTTTTTTGTCTGATGTGACGTTTGCTGTAATAAAGCATGGCTGTGATGAGTTATAGATTTTTAACATTGTAGAATATTTTATGAAGTCTCACATTTTCATGGTGATATATTTATATAAGATATATCCAGAGGTTTATATATATATATGTATATGTAATCAAACACTCTGCTGGGTTGTGGGTGACATTTTGATATTTATTTATAGATTAGAAAACCCCATCTTTCCTACCAAAAAAAAAAAATGTCTGAAAATTGTTAGAAATTTACAAATCATGTAATATCTGTAATAAATAAATCAAATTGTGTATTTTATTGTTTTGGAAAATTTATCTTTAATGCTTTCTTTAAAAAAAAAAAAATAACAATGATTATTCAAGTACAATAAAAGGAAAACAAGTTTGAAATATGAAAATTTTATTTTTTGTATTATTTTGAATTTTGTATCAAGAATGATTTGTATGTTTATGTAAGAATTTAAGCAATATAGGAGAGATTATTAAAATTAGAGCTTAAATGTTTAGATTGTATTGTATTGTTATCTCTCTAAAGGAAATTGTACTTGAAAATATACCCTCTATAGCTGATGGTGACATCATTTTGCACTTCTTACAGCTTAAATTCATATGCATTCAAGCAGTTAGTACTTTTGTTTTAACAGTTTATGCTAAGTCATTTTACAAGCTAACGGAAGTTGGACAAACAGGATTTTTAAATCAATCTTTATAATAAATATTATAAGTTTTTATTTAAAGTGTAAGTGCATTTTCATGTATATAAAAAGTTCATATTCGATGCAACAGTGTATAACAGTGTATAACACTTGGTTAAAATTCATAACCGAAAGCTTGAAGAACAAACTTTTTTTTTTAGATTCATTAATGATTTCGCTAGCTGCTGCGCCATATAATAAAACAAATAGACATACTGAGTGTATAACCCTTGATACAATTTTCCTAATTGTTGTGAGACGATCATCGTTTCGTGTGCAGTCCATAGTTGATAGCTCTAATATATTGTCATACGAAGTCAAAAAAAAAAAAAAAAGAAAAAAGAAAAAAAAAGTAGTTCATTTTTTATAGGGATTGAACTTTTTAAAAATATTAATACTGTTCCCTACATATATCAAAGGACATCTTATAATCTGATAATGGGCGAATTGTATGTAATCTGTTACTATTAATAAGGAGTGTGTTTGTAAGGGGGGTGTTAGGTGTGTGTGTTAATCAGTTAATGTTAATTAAACGCATGTATTTCTGCAAACTATGTCACACACGTGTCTATACTACATGACTATACATACATGTCCGCTGTCCTTGAATGTTAAGACACTCTGACCGGTTGACCATTATAGGTAACAACGTCGCGGTGGCTCGACGTTTCCTTCTCGTCTCTATAACATGTCAAATCCTAATTGATAATTTTACGACTCTCCTTAGCGCAAGGATAGGTTGAATAAGTATTTCCTAACCCGGACAGAATAGTGAATCGGATGCGATGGAAGATGTACTCCGGATATTCTTAACTCAATTCTGAAAGAGCACTTTATCTCCCTGCTTACACTCGATACTATATAGTAAGGTACTCTGCTATATATGTATGTGCAATATTACTATCTTTTTGCTCATTGAGTAGACATGCAAATGTAAATTGCAAAATAACTGAGCATTGCATTTGTTATCTTCAGTTACTATAATATAATCACTTGATAAAGATGACCGATATGAACATGTAGTTCATGGATCTACCGATGTAAATAGAGGTGTAATCTACACGTTGTACAAAGGGGGCGTTTCCCGCATGGCGTTGTTTTGATATATAAGCATGGGCACGATGGGGGACTATGACGACATCGGGCTGGATTTGAGGGTTCCCAAGATGTCACCGGAGTCGGATGATTTGGAGCAGTGTGATAGTCGGACGGAATCGGATGCAGAGCAAGTTGGCAGGTTTCTAGTGGACGGAAGTCCGATCAAATTAGAAAGAAGTGAAAGCGATACGGAATCTGACAATCCTGGAATGTACGATAATCAACACATCGATGAAGTCTCTGATGCTGATATCGATATAAAAGTGTGCTATCCTAACACTGAATTGTACAGATTAGATGCTCATAATAATGAAAGTGACGATGTTTCCGAAGAGTCTGAGAAATATGATGACTTTGCGACGACAAACAACGATAAGTCAGTGGTGGTTATTAGTGGCCGTAGACAAAGTGGAGAGGGTGGGAAAAGAATCCAGTTGAGGAGTTTACTGGACACACGGGTTAGCAGAGGGGGGAAGATCGAAAAGGTCCGTGTCATCAAAAGGTAAAAGAAAGGCGATTTATTTGCAAAGTGTTCAACGTATTTTTTATAAAAAAAAATTGTTTTGAGAACATCAAAATTTCCATGGATTATTGCATTGATCCGCAATTAATGGGAAGGGGGGGGGGTAAATCTGCATTTACAGTTTATTGGACGTACGATCATTGATATTTTTGTCAATCAAGAGTGGTTTCAGAGTCATGCATGCACATACATGGCTGATTTCAAATGCATGACCTAATGCTAAATGAATCGGCCCTCCTTATAGAACTTAGGAGAAATTATGAAACACTACACTGTAGTTTTTGCATTTCATCTTCAGTACATATACTTAACGAAGTATCACCTGTACATGTAACCTCACAACTATAATATCTCTTCAAGGTCATGTACATCTTAAGGAGTTACATTTTGATCAAAATGCTTGTGTAAACGTTGTATTTACCTAAGAACCTTAAAAATCAACAAATAATCTCATTCCAAGATCTGATTTTCATTGAAAGCACTGGTTTTATTAATTTTCACTTTCACTGATATACTTCGTGGATTTAGCAAACCCTGGAAACATTGACTAAACAGGAATACGATAAAGTATTAAAATATTAAATCTGAATTGAATATCCTTGTATCGATCGGGGGAAATTGTTTTTGTCCACCCGTTTCCCAATTTAAACTTTATTTTTGAACTAGGTGAGAGCGAGTCTTCCAGTTTCGATCGTCAAGGGCCATTACCGATCAAGACCATTTGGCATTTGGCCTCCAATTGCATTTGCCACCGTAGGGAGCGTTGTGTTTTTGTAATACGTCTTTTTTATAGTGCACCATGATGATTTAAATTTTAAAAAAAATCGGTTCAGTTCTTAGCTTTAAGATATGCTTTTAAAATGATAGTGTTTGCGTAAAGAGAGAAATATAAGAATTAACCGAAATTAAATGTCGGTAAATATATTACTTCGACAATACCTATAATATCTCTGCTATAATGACCTGGACCTTTGACATTAAAAATAAGCACTGTCCTTCCTCCTACAATTTAAGATGTGCACTTGGACGTACGCAAGTTAATGCTTTTAAAATTAACACAGAACATGGCCGTAGAACCCGGAGATTGGGTGCCCCGGCCCCAAATAAATTTGCCGATATATAAAAAACATATCTACATTAAGCCTGTGCCCCCTCAATAATAACATGTGATGAGCTTTTGTTTTGTCCCTTCCTCAGGACATAGAAGAGCTTTTAAAAAAGTCTGGACATCAGCACAGGAGACAAGACATACCGGACGTGCCTCGCGGTTGTCCGGATTCATTTCAATTAGCTATCAACATTAAAAATCAAAAAGTAAAACCGAGTGCAAATGAATAGAGTAAATAGAGTATAGTAGCTTAGCTGTAGTGCTAAATGTTTTTGTTTTCATCTGTTCTGTTTTTTATGACATTTTAAGCCCTTCTATGTCCTATAGGACAGGAGGTCCCGAAAATTTAACAATTTTTCATTGTTCTTGTCTTTGGTCATTTTTAGTGCATGATCTATGATGTAGATCATCGTACATATGATTAGGTTAGAAGCATTGAACCGTTTCCACTATTAATGTCTACCCCCATTGCATACCGTAATAATGTTATTACATGTATATATTTAGCGTTGTTCTTATACATGTAATATGGGGTTACCGGTAATTTTATTACAAAAAGAAAGTGCCTTTGAATAGGCCGGCATTAGAGTATTATCCTGCAAATCAAAATTAATCTCTCTCTTTCATCTATTAAGAGGATTTTTAATTTTTAGAATCCATTTAATTGACCATGGACTTTAATATATACTTTTATTTTGGTTTTGAAAATCCAGTTTGATCAACATTACTATAACTCTATGGATAATTATATACCGGTACATGTAATTATAATTTTGAATTTTTCATATTTTTTGAAACCTATACAAATTTTAAAAAGATCGATTGACCCACTGACTGGCAAGTCTCTTAAAGGGGCTTGGACACAGATTTGAAGTTAATATTTTCAGTTTAATCAGAATCAGAAAAGTCCAGCTGAGTTCACTCGAGTACACTCGTGTCCCACGGTCATGACTGGACTCGGGACCTTTAATGGTCTGAGGATCATATATTATAAATGAGCAAGGTGTTGTTAAGGAGGGATTCCTGTCTGGTTTCTGACTACACGAAATATTCCAAGTATATTTGCTTGTATGTCTTATATACTTAGCTGTATTTAAAAGATCATATTTTTCTTTTCTTTACTTATCATAACTGTACAACTTTAGATAGAAATGGTAAACTGAGATTGAAATCCAGCAGGGACTATATATTCTTTGTGCAACTGCGGCGTATGAAAATATGTCCTTTTCTGCCTATCAAAATTACTTACAGAACAATATATTTAGTTTTTTTTTAAACAATCAAAGACTTAATTTTTTTTTAAATGTAGCATTCTCCTGTCCAATTTCATATTGTATAGTACTAGCATATGAAAAATCATAGATTTATGACTATAAGTGATATAATGATGTGGCATGTGTATCTGCACCTCCTACCCCCCCCCCCCCAAAAAAAAAAAGAGAGTAAAATATAAATGCATTATACATGATCAGGACATGCCTCTATATCAGCCGGGATCAAATGTCACACTGGGTGTTTAATGCTAAGACATATTGTACAAGTGATATTAAATATTTTACAAGAGATAATAAATTTTGTTGAACTATTAAATGTTTCACATGAAAAGTAAAATTTGAACTAAATGATAAAAAATCGAAAAGGATCTATTTTCCTTCCCTATTGTAATGTAAGAATTCAATATAGACCTCTGGCAAGAACTGTTTATATATTCCTGATTACGTACCGCGTAGTAATTTGTTAAATTTAGAAAAGGCTGAATAGTAAGGTAGACGACAAACATTTCTAAATATTGACCCACAACGATGTATTGCGCAATTCATTTCTATATTTGGTTCAAATAAACATGTGCATTTATTTTTCAGCCTTAAGGAAGCTTTAAATAATTATGAAAAATTTTATTTGGACTTTGAGAAAATTGTATCATAAACAGATGGACAGAAGTTTTCTATTTCATTTTCAACAAAGGGTACCTGCAAATGTTCTCCAGGAAGAAAGTTCAAAGACATTAAAGGAATAACTTTCAATTACTTTCATTAAGAAAACATATGCAAATAATGTTTTCAATGACTTAATCTTGTCTTATGTAATACTGAGAATACTTAAATCGCTTTCAAAGTGTGTCAATTACTGTAGATTTCCGTTTATTCCATTTCATGAAAGGGCAGTTCACTCTAACTGCATAAAACTACCATGGAATTTGAACTCTTCAGTGAGCAGTGTTTAGAGCTTCCGTAATTCAATTTTTCAATTTGTATCATACCCCCCCTCACCCCCCCTCCCCAAAAAGCTAAAAAATTTAAAGTTTGAAAATTAAAAAAACAAACAAACAAACAAACACTCACATCAATATTTATTACTTTCGATTTCCTAGTTTCTTTGTTACCGCGGCTTTCAATGTAAATGTGTATAAATGGATCCTTGTCTATAATCCTCCTTTCCCAGTATGAAATTTTTGGATCCGCCTTTTCGTCAACAGAAACTGAAAGTTCTTTCAAGTTCAAAGGAATATTGTATGTAATATATTAATATCATTGAAACAGGATATATATGTGTTTATGCATTTTTGCATTTATATTATTTTCCTTATAAATTAAGTGCAGTTTGTTAATTAAACAAAACGATACGGATTTAACCTACATGTATACACAGTGATGGATTCTTTCTTTCTGTTTCATATATTTATTTCTTCATGCACGTTCTCACAAGTTTCTTGCTTTCTTTTATGTTCAACAATGGACGTATTTCATTCATTCAAATTTGTCAATCGCATCAAATTTTTAGATATTTCTTCTGGAATTTTTTTTTTCAATAATGAAAAATCTTAATTCTAACTTAGAGCTCGCAATAAATAAAGAATTCCTCCCCCTCTCCTTCCCAACCACTAATTATTAGATCTATATCAATGTTACCATTTGAATTTCCGAACCTTTGTGTCATCTTCAAATTCGGTGATTTTATTGGCACAATGCATATTTTCGAGGGAAAATGTTTTTGTTTATTTCTTATAATTAAAAAAAAAAACAAACCCTTTTTTATGTTCTATAATATTGGTTGTTTCTCTTTCTCTCTCTTAATTTTCTATTTTAAAGAATAAACCAGGTATACGCGTATAATTTTCGGGTATCATATATAGCTCCATTCAAAGAAAAAAAATTTAATTAATTTTCTTAATATTTTCCCCTGTTTTGAATATTTCATTACTTTCTTCCTAATTTTTTTTTTTTGTTTTTTTTTTTTTTTTTGTTTTGCATGTTTAAAGCGTTCACAAATTAATAAACAGGAGAAAATGAAGCGATGCAAATAAAATTGCCTCTAAAGTGGGTTTTTCCAATGACATGACAACATGATCTATAAATAACTGTAAGTGACCGTTTCCTCAGTTTTGATTGGTTGTCTGAAGTAGAACGAGAGGTACGTCAGAAAAAGCCATATTGGTTTCCGAAAGCAAGGACACCCTAGATAAAATCTGTTAAGTTTTCATTCAAAGTCGGACTGTGACACAACTTTTAAGATGCAGGATTCTGGAATAGAATTCGACATGTCTTCAATTTCGGATGCCGATCAAGTTTTGAAAGAAGAAAAGAATTTCTATCAACTGAAAAGCAAAACCGTCTCACAAAGGTCGGTATTGACAATATTCAGAACATTTGATTCAGAACTTATGTAAACAACGTGTCTCAAAAGTCATTTTATTATTTTTGGCTTTGTGTTTAAAGGAATCAAACCTCTATTTTTTGTTAAATATGTCACTAGGCTTTTTAAACTGATACTCTTTGTGTCGCACATTTCGCGGATTTATCTGTAAACACAGTAAACAACGAAAAGAGGTCAGAGAAGGGGGCGTGTCAAAGGCCAAGCGATTAAGACTTTGTCCGGAGTCGCTCGTTGAACATTATCAGTGCCAGACAAATTTATTTATTATGATAATTAGATACATGTATCCATTTTCTATTACAATTTCATATGATAGTACTGAGTTACTAAACAATATCATTTGACAATGTTAAATTAGGCCGGATATTATGAGAGGGAATATTTCCTGATGTCGGTCGAAGTCCATATTGCAAAAAAATGTGTAGGTTGAATACTTTTATTTATAAAAGAAAACATGTGATTTCTTACTATTATAAAGTTAACTTGATTAGAAGATACAATAAAGAAGTTTGGATAAAGGGGTGAGGTGCTCTTGAGTACACTTGTACTAATAAATATTTTTTTTAAAAACTCCAAAACACCAGAAACGGCCTGCATAAGAAAAAAAATTATTTAAAATATGTTTTGTATGCTTAATTTGTTTCTTCTTATGCAGGCCGTTTCTGGTGTTCTGGTTAAGGAATAAAAACATGTTTGTCTCTCCTGAAAAGTTTGGATTTTCGACTTGCAACAATTAAATATTTCAGCGACGATTTGCTTGTCAGATTTTTTTGAAGCCCCCCCCCCCCACCCGTCCTTTTGAAACCGTTACAGGCTTACCTGATTTGTAAAGTCACAGAATCAGTGGGGCTTAAAATCATGCAGATTTGTTAATTTCTAAAAAGATAATAATGGTACATTTGTTATAAACACTAGAGCATATGCCTTTTATCAATTTTTAAAAATTTTCAAAACTCCCATGAAAAGAGTTATAAATCTATTTTAATCTATTTCGTGTTAATACTAATATATATCTGCCAAGAGTAGTATATTGATATTTACTAATAAGAAATAGCACAAGTGCACCTCAAAAACAATATTTTTTTTAAAGATATATCCTTTAATTGCTGCATTAAATTAACATGACACAAGTTGTGTGTAATGCATATATATGATGAATGTAAAAGCTTCCAGACTTTTCTTGTGGGTGATAAATGATTGTCACAAAAAAAAGCTATTTGCTGCACTTAAAACGTGACATTTCTGCAAATGTCCCTTGCCATGCAGGTGTATCACTAAACAATATCTTTACTCACTTTGATTAACTTCATAATTAATTATTATAATTACTTGACTGTTGAAACATTAATCATCCCATATATTCCTAAAGATGCTGAATAAATGTGTATGGACGTTTTTTGCTCATAATATGTGGAATGCATTGGAATCAAATTTTAATTGATTTTAAATGTTAATTACAGGCCTCTTACACAACTTTCTAAGACTGAGGCTGGGGCCATAAAATTTAGGAAAATTAGCGACCTTTTTGGGAATTTTAGGATTATAATCATATGCATTAATTAAAATCATTAAAATTGTGTTTCTGGTGTATGTTATCAACTAAATTTCTGTTTTGCAGTACACAGCAATTAATATGAGTAGCAAGTTAATTTATTATGTATGCAACTATATGTTTTTAAATTTTTTTTTTTGAAAAGGGGGAGGGGGGGATCTATTTGCGCTATTTGCAAATCAGCACAACTAATTGGGAAAAAGCTACATGTCAAAGAAAATGATTTAACTGGAAGTATTGAACTTATAAAAAGAGAGAATAATTATATTTTTGTTTAAAGTGAGAGACAAATGTCTGCATAGCCTTTTATGTCAAAGCGTATGTTCAAATGTTATTCACGTGTTATTATCACTTCACAGTTGGGGGCAAAATATTTTGATTGCAAGGATATTTTTCTATCACTATGATCAGACATTGTATTGGAGATTCCTGTCTGTCTGCTTTTCTATCTATCCACATGATCCATGACACAATTTCTGTCTTTTGTCATAACTCAGAAACTTAAGGTTCATGGGTACTCTGATAAGAGAGATAACTCTTAATGACAGAAATGTCTATTATTCCTTTATAAATTTGTCAAATTGAAGTGTTCTTTTTGTCCAGTTTTGCCACGCAAGCTATGCTATAATTGTTTGTATTTTACTTTAAAAATACATTTCTTTTTGAAAATTACAAGAGTTAAAGAAACATTTTATATGAGTAAGTAGAGGGTTTATGAACCTTAAGTGAATAAGGCAGAGATTTCACATTTCTGTTGGGTAATTTGAAGGTCAAGGTCAGTGGTACCTTGCAATCAGGTCACATTAGGCTTTGTCACTGGTTTAGATCTTGCTTTTTGTGGAGGAATCCCATCTTGTTGATTTATGAAATGAAGTTAACAAAAAAAATAGGAATGTTTTAAGTTCAGAGACATGTAATTGATTAATTGATTAAAATATGTGTCACTGGTCAGGATTTTTTTTGTCAGTAGTGTGGTCACCCACGCATCAAATTTTCAAGATCTGCGATTTAGAAGATGAAAGAAATGAAAGAATATGTATGTTTTTCCTCCCACGAATATCTTGTGATTTAGAATTTAGCTTAATCTCTAGTGATCCATGGTTTACTAATGAAACTGTATGTAAAAACCTCTCTGATGATTCAATCGAATTTTACTCACATTTAGTCTAAATTTCTGACACATTTCGGAAGTACTTATATAAAAATAGACTGCCCATTAAGTGCTATTGTTTTGATAGTGGCTGTATAATTATGATGTTCTGTTTTTATGCAGTCATGTAGATCACTAGTAAATGTTGAGGTCATGACCTTTGCATTGATTAAAAGTTAATTTTGTATATCCTGTTCCGACACACATTATGACATTATATTTCAAAATAAATGCACCTCCATTTTAAGACATTTGGGGGGGATTTGACAGATACTATTTATAGAACATCACATTTGAACCACGGGATGACCAGGTCATGCTCTTTAGCTAAAATATATAAAGATATTTTAGAAATTGAATTGAAGTAGTTTTTTTTGGATTGGACTTAAACCCTAACTTTAAGTACATATTTAAAAGTGATAAAACATACACTAAAAAAAAGATGAATGCCTTAGCATCTTATGGAAGTTACCTATACAGAAGGGAGTTTAATTTGGAAAGGTAGACAAGTCTTTCTTTCATGATTATATAATGCCGTCTTATATAATTTGTCTTGAAAATATTTACGAAGATTTATTTCCTTGAATAAATGTCAACAGACAACGTCCTCTGTATTGACAACTTTACCATACAATAAATGCCAGTGATTTGTGGCATTTCGCACAGACAAACTTTGACTTTGGAATAAATCTGTCAGGAATTTGTTGTCATGCTGTGTTCATCCATGTTTATGTATGCATGAAAATTGAGAAAAATTTTTTTCTTCAATTTTTTAAACTTTATTTTTTTTCCTGCCATAGGGCAACTATAACAACTATAAACAGTCAATGTAATATTTTGTCAAATTTATTTTCAGTCCCAACATGACAAAACTGGATGTTCCGAGGGGAAACCTCCGAGCCAACCTTCGCCTGCAGTTGATGAAGATGCAGGCCGCACAGGAAGATCAGAAGAAAGAGCAGATGACCTACTCCCAGTCGTATAAACCCGTCACTCAGTCCCAGCCCCAGACCATACAGATCCCCGCCGCCACGGCTCACGCAGACACACAGGTCCCCTCCAGTATACTCACAGTAAGGACAAACTTTATCATTTTATGTATGAATTAGGACAGGTACATTAGTACATAAAAAAAAGGTACCAACAAGGTTGTACACCTTATACCAGTGTATACCATTGCAATAGCATGTTTAACGAGCTAGAGTATATGATGTCCTATGGCAAAATCAGTAAGCCAGACATCTTTGGAATTACAGGTACATGGGTACATGTAACTATTAAATAAATAAGTCTTGTATAACAGATCTTTGCACCTATATGGCTATATATTTACCAAGATATTGCATGTTGTCTCCTATTTCAAGAATTGTATTATGAAAAGTCGTTTTCAAAAAAAAAAAAAAAAAAAAAAAAAAAAAAAAAAAAAAAATATATATATATATATATATATATATATATATATATATATATATATATATATATATATATATATATATATATATATATATATATATATATATATATATATATAAATTAAATTAAAAATGGCAATTTAAATAAAGTAATAAAGCTAGTTCTAACCAGTTTTAGTAGGATAATGATCCTTTCATTCTATTCCTTTTTTTTTTTTTGGTCACTTTAATTTAAGATTATCCAAATGAAAAAAGGCATGCTACTTGAGATTGGGATTATGATTGGGATTATAATTTTTTCTTCAATCTTTGGGTAAATCATACATGGTTATTTTGTATGTATTCACAAGATTTCAGTAGCAATATTTGCATACAAGTTTTTCAAGATTAAGATAAATGCTTTGTGGTAAAAAAGAATCTATGCTTAGGACATATTAGCTCTCAGAAATGTTATAGAATGTAAAGCTTATATATCTATTTCATTTAAGTTGTTTATTTGCAAAACAATATGCTCAAGGGATGTGTAGTTATATTTCACATACCCAGTACTTACAATGGGATTTTGTAATGAAAAAATAGTTCTACATGTACTAAGGGTATAAATATCGGATCTTCTCTAAAAGTAGCTATTATAATGTTTTGTATGTACTTCTATTAGATTCAGAAAAAATAAAAGAGGATTTAAATTTGAATACTCAGAATTTGTCTCGATCCCTCTAAAATTTAAAGTTTAGAAGGCTTAAATTGAAATTAGAGTTTTGTTGTGTACGTGGTTTCTATTTGTCAATTTATGGGTAGGTAAGGAAATTATTTTCTTCACAAAATTTTAACTTTTGATATTTTTTTCCACCTTGTTCAGAGAAACAGTAATAAAATCTCGCTAAATAAATTTGTCACTGAAGGGGACTGAATTGCTTGAAAGCTCAATAGTTGAGCTCTAACATAGTTTTGAACATGGAATGGCGCAGTACAAGAATAATGATGTACATGTAGATCTATAAGGATTTGTTTGGTCAGAGATTCTCTGTATTCATTCTAAGTACTCCATTTGTATTATAGCTCCTTATTAATGTTAATTAAGGCCTTTTGAAATTCAAAAAATAATTCTTTTTGAACAATAGCTTGAGAAACTGCAGGATTTGTGAATGCATGCATGGACCTCTGTAATTGATGCATCTCGCTATTCGATTCAGTAGATGTTCATCTGTTCATTAAATATTGAAGTTTGATATTGCGGTAGGTTGTGGTAATATTTAAACAGAGATTAAGATACCACAAACCAGCCTCTGTTGACAGATACAGTGTACAAACAGTGACTTGTGTTTACATGGCTACAACAAAGATAACCCAATTCTGTGTGCAATGTTCATGTAATATTGTATATATGTAGGTGTCATTTTGGGTGCAATAGAGGATAATCGGGTGTTATCTATTATAATAGAACTTCTATTTCATATATAAGATATGGAAATGTACTTGCTTTGAAAAAAAATTTCTAATGCATATTTCATCAGTAGTTGACAATGCAGCATAATTAGGGATTTTATTGCATTCTGTAAATACCTGCAAACATGAACAATGGACAAGATCAAACTAGCATTACTGAAATTGTAAACCTGAACATGCATTGAAGTACAGGAATGTCAAATTGTTTACAATGTCCACCTTTGAACTTGGAGATAAATAATGACAAGATTTTGATCACTGTCAACATGAAGGGAACATTTGTTACAACATTGTGAAATTACATAGATATGTATAAGTTAAAGCCATGAAGGAAGTTCGAAGACATCTTTTGTCATGAAAATAATTAAGGTAAATAAGGAGGAAACCAGCTATTTTTGTATTTACATGTAAACATGTATACACATAGATAAATACGTAATTTCTGAGTTTCTCTGTAAATATTTTTTGTTAGAAAATTACGTGACATAGTGAACAATTATATTATAACTTTTTTTTTGATAAACCATTGAAATCTTCCATTTATTTTGCTTTAATTTAACTAAGTGTTTCCAATTTTGATATCAAGATTTGTTTTCAATATTCAATTTAAAATAAATTAATAATGTAATTTTCAAGGATAAATTGATCTCACTTAATTGATTGTTTTTTTTTGAAACGTAAAGGTTTATATGGTTATAACCAGTTGCTTAAGATAATGAATTTGTATAGAATTGGAAAAATATTGTCTCTTGTTTTCTTTCCTGAATTTATTTTGTTTTGCTTGTTTATTGGGAAGGAGGGGTTGGGGGTGAGATGGGGGGAGGTCGGTGGGTTCTGGATTTGTTACCTTGTGGATTATAACTTCTGTTTTTAGTTTTTTTTCCCTTTATACGAGTATTTGTTTTCATGTTTTGTGCTTTTTGGCTGACTGTTTATTATATATCATATTAACTCTCAATTGATTGGCCCCACCCCCTCTAAAGTTGAAGGTCATATTTGATTGCAGGCTAATTAAAGAAGTTTTGTATGTGGGTTGATGGACAGAATTATAATGTAGAGATAAGTTATCTCCCAAATCTCCAGCCTCTTTGCTCATATCAGTGAAATGTTGATTTTGTTTTTAATTTTTATATTTATATAGATATGTTTCCTCTGCGGATTAATGGAAAATGTTTATTAAGCATTACAAGGAATATGCAAATTCTTAATCTGTTTATTTAATTTATAATCAAAACAAAAACATCAACATTTAGCATGTTTTAAGAAAGTGTTACATTAATAGGATTCTATTGTAAAATCTAGATTATTGAGAGCAGGAAACTAGTACTGAGAGGGGGGATTATCGCGTTTATTTTGGGTAATTGGTGGCATTGTCCGAGAAGATACGGGACCTCAGATAATGGCCTTAACCCTGTCAACGACCTAAAACTAATTGGTAAAATCCATAGACTATCAACAATCTGTAGTCCTTTTTAAAAATACGAACTCTGAAATGTGTACATTTTTCATATTAAGGAAGCAATGGAAGGTATGATCTAACTAAACCACTGGTTTCGAATGATTTTTTTTAATTTAAAATATATAATCTAAGTACAGATGTTTAACAATGCTTGAAAATTTTTCCTGTTTATTCTTCTTTGCAGGAAGGGAATACAAGTATTATACTTGTAAATTACTTGTCAGTGACCATTGAGGAAAGAAATTATGATCAGTTTTCATTGTATCAGTTAATTATGGGAGAGTTTAGCAGATGTACATGTTGTATACTTCTTCTATCTGCAGGTCAAAACACCACTCCAAAACCCAACACAGTTCCACGTAAGTGAAAACCAGAAACGACAAATTCACCTCTTCCTTCACAATACGGGCAAGGTGAGCACGGCCCAGTCTATGCCCGCTCTTACCACTCAGATGCCCGCAGCTAACATGCCCACCACAGTCAGTGGGAGTGCGCCCACGGTGGATCCCGACAGCCCACTCTCCATGGGCTTTAGTAGTGCTACTAACAGTGTCTCCGATTTTAATGAGGTAAGCCAGGAGTTATCACCCTTGATTATACTGTCGGTTTGTGGTTTTATTGACGAGTAAACAAAAATTTTTTGTTGCTCTGAAACCTTCAACCTCATTCAAATTCATTAGGGTTTCTGTCATTAAATTTATGTTAATTTGTTGGCTAATATACTCATAAGACTTGAGGATATATTGTATACCTTTAAAGTGAATGTTCAAAAAACCTTTTAATGGCCTTTATGAAACTCTGTACATACTTGAAATTGTTGGATATTTTATCAAAAAACATCTCTCAGCAATTAGTTTAACAGTTGTTCTAAATAGTTACATGTAGATTAGATTTGTATACGTCACATTTTCAATTTAGAATTCTCTATCTGTGCTTTTTTTTTTAAAGCATTATTTATTTAAATGATATAGTTAAGTACAACTGAGTGTTTCAAATGCCCTCGACAAACTTGTTCACTTAATTAATCATGATTTAACAATTACGTTGTTTGTAAATTTTGTAAACTCTTCATATTTGTCTGATTTTGAAGTATCAATCTTAGTTGCTGCACCTAAACACAAAACCTGTTTACAAGTACACATACAGTATATAATTAAGATACTCCATTTTCTAGAAAATTTAATCTTTGTACAAGTACGGTACCCTGTACAGGCCTTGTACACAATCTTTAATTATCTAATATGCTTATTGAAAGTAAAGACAAGTGAACACATGCTTAAACTACTGCTAAAATCAATTAAAATTTAACAAATCAAATTATGACTTCCTTGATCAATTACATACTGGTTTATCCGATTTAGCCAGACTTCCTCAATAGAGATCTATGCAGATGAAGCTATTTCACGTTGATTGGAGAATTGTAGAGTGTCATTAGTTGTCAATGTATTTTGTAAAAATTCTCATTTTTTCATAGACACAAGTTTCCTTATGTAAACTTAGTGCAAGACAAATTAGAAATAATAGTTAATAAATAGCATCTCTCTCATATCCAAAATGAATATCATGTGCATAAATCATAATGCACATTTATACGATACATGTAAAAACCCACAGTCAGCAACGATAACATAATACTGTACAATTATTCAATGGAAATCAAGATAGGGTTTGTTCCCGTTTTGCACACATTAGAATTTCAGGCATTGAAAAAATGTGTGCAAAACGGAAATTTGTCCAGGTAAGATAATTACTTAATTGCTATAGTCTGTATCATAGTTGTGAATTCATAGAAAGAGAATCTACGGAAAGAAAAGGAAAAAAAATGATTAATTTTGCCTTTGAAATTTGATCTATTTCTTTTGATTTCATAGTAAAGTAAACATGCTGCTGCATTTAATTTTTTTTTGAACAGGAAATAGGTTCTTTTATAAACAAAAGAAGGAAATATGACATTTATATAATTTTACATTTTTTTATAAAAATCCAACTTTGAAATAGCCACACTTCATTTTCTATAATTAATCTATTACTTTTTATTTTTGGCTTATAAATAGAGGTGTAAAAATAATGCTGATAAGATTGATGAAATGTACCTATAAGTTTGAAAATCAATTTCCTTTGTTTTATACATTTGAATCATTTGACTACTTAACTACATCCTTGAACATGTAATACCCATGCTCCTGTACACTCATAGGTGTGATAATGAATAGGTCCTAATGATTTTTTTTTCTTTGTCAGGTTGACAACCTTTTGAATGATCTCATCAGTCTAGAGTCTGTAGATCCTAATGTTGACCAGGATCTAAATCTTCTGGACATGTCGTCTCTCAACCAAATGTCCTCAACAGTAAGTGTCCAATGGCTAGAACCTAGTAATCACCAATGGTGTACCAGAAAAAGTTATATCTCTTCGAAAATTTTCTCAACCAGCAATCCACATTGGTGATAATATCTCTTTTATAACCTTCCCTCAACTAGTTATCCGCAAGGTGATGTTATCTGTTGTATAACCTTCCCTCAACTAGTTATCCACAAGGTGATGTTATCTCATAGAACCTACCCTCAACCAGTAATCCACAAGATGATGTTAGATCATAGATGTGGATGTTTATAATTAATATACTAAACAGAGAACAAAGTACTGCAAAGCAATTTGTTGATATTGTTTTTTACAAATAAAATTAAAAATTTTCACTGCAATCTTGATTTTCCATTTGTGCACACGACTTTTGTGTCATTAGTAACTGATAAGTACATAAATCATAAATCAGACTGTACAGGTGGTATTGTGTTTTCTGTACGTCCTAAGAACTGCTGATAAGGCCCTTCATTGTTAATTAAAAGTACATGCATTAATTATTAAAAATATGTCCTTGTTTCAATGAAACAAACAAGCTTCAGGTAAACAAACACTTCCACAATCATTTAATTAACCTCCCCCAAACAATGTCCTTATTTGTCGGCTCTTGACGAATCTTGTCCCCTCTTTCCTGACCTTGCAAGATCTAAATCCTTAGTTAATTAGTCTGTGTTTTACCAATGAGGTCATCAGTGGCTTATGCTCCCCGACATTTGAACTTCGTAGCGAAGGGGAATAGCTAGAAATATGGCTTAACAGGCCGGAGGTTTTAGAGGCCCACTTCACACCCTTAGCTTAGCCACACTTAGGCTCTTCAGGGACACTTCTGTATTCTGTGCTATTTTTTTCTATATTGAAGGATCTTGACTCACTAAAACAAGTGTGATAATTAGTTACGATTGGTTTTTTTTGTTCCGTTCATTGTGTTTTTACTGTCACTTTCACTTCTGTATTCTCGCGACACTTGTCTCCAGCCATGAACTCTATCATGTGGCACGAGGTTCTATTTTTCGATAAGATGCAGGTATGTTAAGATAACGTATAATATATTAAGGGATGTACTTGGGTCATTTCTTTGGAACAGTCAAAGTTGTCTCATGTGATGTTGTGTTTAGAGAATATTAATCGGTATAGTAATCTTTACATTAAATGTTTTTAAATTTTACCTTTTCCGGAGTCTTGCATGAATGACTCAGGGACCTATGGTCATCATTTATACCTTGGACACAATTTTTTATTTATAATTCTGAGGAGTATCAAGGGTTTATTTCTCAAGGTCATTACTCTTTCTACACTAAGGTTGTGTGAACCAAGGTTTAATCATGTGACACACTACAAATTCAAAAGATCTACCTGTCTTTCAAGCATTCATTGTATCAGCTGAATCTACTTAATTTAAGATAAATGTTTTTGAAAAGGAAGTCTTATCTTATAAAATATTTCTGGTATTGGAGTATGCATCATGAGGATTTATAAAGTAATATATAAGGTACATGTATAACATTTTTCTTCTCTTAGGTTTAAATCACTTGTAAGAAAGTAAAGGCAAATAGCTAATTGTGTATATTTGAATTAGTTCAATAATTTTTTGTCAATTACAGACTTGTGAAAAAAAGGTTTGATAAGATTTTTTGGACAGATTTCTTGATTTGAGTACAGAACTTTCCCAATCAATATAATTGGTTATTTATTAAGATTGATCATGCTTTTTCTCCCCACATTCTACCCATCATCAAAACTTATCATGCTTGTATTCCAGCTGCCCAATTTAATATCTTTCAAATATAGAAATATGTAAATTTACAGAATAAGTTGTTTTTTGGGAATAATTTCAATTTTATGTTTTTTTTCTTTATCATTGTTGTTGACTGATTGTTTTTTCCTTCATTTTTTTAAAAGGGGGGGGGGGGGGAGTAAAAGATTTATTATTAGTATAATTTATCACTCCATAATCATGCATTTCAAAATATTATGATTACAAATTAATTTTTCATATTTTAGCTGCCTCATTCCAACAATATCTTGGGTCTTTACAATGAATCATCAAACGACCCAGAAAGTAGTAATACAGCAAGCTCGTGTCCGGCTAAATTCACCAACATTCCAATGCCTGAGTTCCTGTCTGAGGAGGAGCAAAGGATGTGGGCGAAAGACAGACAGAAGAAGGACAACCATAACATGAGTAAGTGTTGGATTCAGTAAGAATCAGGAGTGGGGGGGGGGGGGTGTTGAGTCCTCAGAGGTGGATCCAGTAAGATCAAGGAGTGGGGTAACTGAGTCCTCAGTTATGGATCCAGTTAGATTGGGGTGTTGGGGGTTGAGTCCAGTAAGATTGAAAAGTGGGGATTGAGTTCTCAGTGTTGGATCCAGTAAGATTGAGGAGGGGGACTGAGTTCTCAGTGGTGGATCCAGTAAGACTAGGGAATGGGGGATTAAGTACTCTGTTATGGATTCAGTTAGATTGAGGTGTTGGGGCTGAGTCCTCAGTAGGGGAACCCAGTCAGATTGAGGAGTGGGTATTGAGTTCTACCTTAATACTTGAAATAAATTTTAACTTTTTGCATAATGTTAAAGTTTCTAGCATATTTTTCCCCTTGTAGATTATAATTACCAATTTGTAAGTAATGCAAAAGAGCAAATTATTATTCATAAATAACATCAATTACAGAAAAAAAATGTATTGATGCAATTTTACATCATTATGGTACCAAACACTGAGGTTATAAAACACCAAATCATTACCTAATAATTTGCAGACCCCAATGTTTTTCTACAAAATGAAGTGCTCTCAAGTTCATATTGAAGTACACTCTCAAAAGTTGATCAGACAAATTTTATCTGCTTTGCACTGCACAGATTCCCCAATGTGAAGTGTATTGAATTATGGGAGGAAGACGGCATTCAGCACCTCTATGTTTAGATACATACTATGTCAACTGTCTCCCATTATCTCGGTACACTTTGATGTGAAGTACCAGGCAGGCTTGTCGTAAAATATGTTTTTGATCTCAGACTTAAGTGGATTATTTTACTTCAGCCACAAATTTATGGAAAATAAAGTGGTATTTAGATAAAAATGATGTATAAAGGGGTTTTGTTCCTGGTGTATATACTTTAGTATCAGAATGTGTATGATAAACATTGTTCTATATCCAATTTTTAGAAAACAAGGATATAAACTTTCATTTACATGTTCCAAAGTACATTGCTAGTTTTTTTCCCCCCTGATATAAGGCAATATCATAAATTTTCAGTGTCAGTGTACAACTTACCTGACCAATAGAAAATTCATACTTCCTGAAATTGAATTGTGTGTGCTTTAATTTACATATATGTGGTTTTAAAAAGAAAGTTTACCTAAACACCATTACGTGACTTTGCTAGATTTTAGTATATAGTGAGATTGCATTTATTAATGTCTACATATAAATCCTAGAGATCGAATTATCTTCAAAAATGAATCAATTCCACAAAGAAATAATTATAAAATCTTTGTAACAATTAACACTAATAGCAGATATCACTTATTTTGTTTCTGTTTCTCCTTTTACAGTTGAGAGAAGAAGAAGATTCAATATTAATGACCGAATCAAAGAGTTAGGGACACTCCTCCCAAAATCCACAGATCCGTAAGTTTTATTTTTAATTTTAGTTTGTTAAAAGTTTGATTTAATTAATAAATACATTCATGTGTTATTCAAGCATTAAAGTAGGTGTGTATAATATGTATTTTTCATGAAGAGATTGCTAAAATTCAGTTTAACTAACAATATTTTTTTTATCAATCAGAAAAAAATAAATCCTGAACTTTTTTTTTAAAATTTATTTTCCAAAATAAATCTTTTTTAATTTGGTGTGCACACACTTGTACATATAAAGAGAGAGAAAAAGACTAGTGGTACTTTCTAGGTATTTGAAATACATAAATAAAAGGAGGAATCTAGCTACACCTAAAACATAGTGCTAGAAAAAAAAGGAGAGAAATCTATTTTCAATATGATACATACATAAAAGAAATCCCCCTAGTTTGTTTATATATTATAATAAGAATAGTGAGAAAAACAACAACAATAGCAAAGTCTAGAAATAAACACAGCTGCTGATGTCACCATGTGACCTCTGGTAACCAGGTCAACATCTGTTACCATGGGATCACAGAACAGCTGATCTGTATATTATTTACATCATTATTTATAGATGAAACTGTAAGTGTATGGAGTGAATCAGCTATGTTACAGAGTTATTGTTTTGTAAGTGTCAGTCCTCAACAAACACAATATTAGTGTTACTAGAGGATGACTCACACATTGAATAAATTGTCCATATTATATGTATATGTAATATTCATTATTTTTCTTATGTGTGATTGTAAATGTTCAAAGGTTGAAATTGCTCTTTGCAGCATATTTAAAGTTAAGTGTTTATATTTGTAACCAAGTACACAGAATACTGATGTACTTTAAGTGTATGTAATCTGCATAAAAGTGCAGATCTGAACTATTCAATTAGATTGCCCCCAGATCTTTGTGATGCTCCAATGAAAAAAATATATAGGACCTGTACAAAAATGCTGGTTTATATTGTAAGGGAGAAAATTCTTTAGGGTATAGGCTCTGCTTCTTGGATAAGGAGCACACACAGCAGCTGTAGCTTAGATATAAAAATTAAAATTTGATCAGAACTGTGAAAATTTACTTTCTGTATCGTCATATACATGTACAGTGTCAAACTTCATTTTCTTGAACTCAGTCCAAGATTAAACTTAAAGATATCCAATGATTCAAGATAACCAGGGTAAAAACCATAAGAGTGAGTAGTTGGGACTGCAAACTCACTTTGACATGCCCCTGGTATACCCCGAGATACTGGTGTTCTAGAAAACGAAGTTCGGTTGCATGCAGCTGATATGCATAGGCTGCAAAGAGATATTCAGAATTAGAACCACTACACAATAGATGGCAATCTCATTATAATGTAAAACATTTTGTATTTTACAGAGATATGAGACAGAACAAAGGAACGATCCTAAAGGCTTCTGTAGACTACATCAGGAGATTAAAGAGAGATCAGGACAAAATGAAGACATTAGAGGCCAGACAGAGGCAACTGGAGATGAACAACAGAAAAATGCTCCTCCGAATGCAGGTACTGTAAATTCAATTACATTCGTGGGGTCTAATCTTTGTGGTTGGAGAAAAAATATTGCATACTGGGGTTTTGTGGTTGAAGAAAGTGTAGAGTTGTTATTTGTTTGAAATTTTAACAGTTTGTGGAGGATATGGATTATATATCTTTTCATACCAAAAGAAAAAAAAACCCAGTTAAACTTACCCCACCGAAAAGTTAGTTTTTTCACAGTATATAAGTCCTATTAATACACAAAAGATATTTTTGCATAATAAATACTTAAGATTCCCAAAGTTTGATTGTACTGATATTCCTTATAGGCTATATTGATATATAATCATAGTATAATTAATGTTTAATTTAACTATATTTCAGCAAATGGAGTTGCTTATGAAAGCTCAGGGAATGCAGACAGGTCTGGACACCGAGATTGAACAATTGACACTATCTCAGCAGCCTGTTACATTTCAGACTACCAAATTCCAACCTGATCTCGCAGGTCTCACCAATAACATGGACGTGTTTATGGATGACGGCTCACCAGTGAATGCCGATCCCATGCTTTCCTCAGAGCCAGTCAGTCCTAGTAACCTTGACGACTCGTCAGACATGTTATGAAATATTGTGTTGTCTGGATGTGTCATGTGAATTCACTCGGCAAGTCTGAGCGAAAAGACTTTCGTCCTAAGATACTGAGTATCTGCGTGGCAGGAAGGCCTATTTCCTGAAACTCTACAGACTTTTCGCAGTTCCCAGAGCAGGGATGATCAAGATGACTTCGCTAACATTTTTCGAAGAGGATAGCAAGGTTCTTCATTTGTGATCAAAGTTTCTCAAAAAGTGCAATTCCCCTTTATCCTCTTTTAGCATAGATTGGATATTAAATTTTTATGATTGTTTTCTCTCTTACCCCCCCCCCCCCTCCCCAACCCCCAACCCCACACCAAATGTCTTACTCCCAGGGTAATTCAATACTGGTGATGGAATCAAACCTTGTAAATATACATGTATCTTTCTTTCATCATTTCATAGTGCTGGCACATTATTGTCATATAATATGGTCAAAATCATACATGGTTATTATCTTTTCCATATTGTTTTACACAATCATATGTTATAAAAAGAGTGTTTGTTTTGATAACATGAAAGCATTCATAAAAATTTTAAATTTTCTTAACCATTTAAAAGAACAAAGTACGCACATGAAATTCAGTTATTTTTTTTATTTAAACGTTAAATGATGGATGTGTATGCATCCAAATGTGAAAACAAATGAACTGTTCAAGTTTTATCTTTATGGTGCTATATTATGTACATACATATAGTTGTTTGGAAATGAATGTTGATGAAAAATTGGTTGAATGTAAATGTGAAAAATGATTCGAGGAGTAGATTTTGTTGAAGACTGTGGTTCGCTTCACTTATGTCTTCATATACGAGTTATGTTGTTGATAACATCTTCAAAATCAGGTTTGCATCTTAATGTTCAGTTAAGAATGAAATGCTTAATTCGTTAACATGAAATAAATTTTAAAAATATGATACACATGGAAAAAAAGTGACTCAGATAGCAGTAAACATATGTGAATATTTCTTGTTCTAATAAAAGATTGACAGTATAAGTAAAACCATGTAACCTGTTATTTAAATTTGATCTCAGAGTTATTGTAACATTAAATAATGTATCATTCCTAAATTAGCAGAGTGAATCTTGAGTCATTTTAATTTTCAGTAAAAATGTCTCTAAATTGAAATTTTTGCCCTGAAAATTATTGCTAGAACATTTTTAGCAATAAAGTTCAATGCAAAACTTGTACTCTGTGTATAAATGCAATTTTGCAATATTTAAAATAAAAAAATTCGATATGAGAATCACTGGAAGCATTCCTTATGTGTTTGAGTGTAACATATATGGATATATACAATAAAAGGTTGTTTGAGAGTGTGTAATTGAGATATCTGGATTTTGAATGAATACATTGTAAATAAAACTGTTGTTTTTTAACATATTATTTTATAGATGATATTTTAGCACAGGAAGGTGATTTTACTGTATAAATGTATTTGCCACATAAACTTTGATTGGATTAATTGCAATTGAAGACTTTAAGATAATTTCCCTTTGTCGGAAAGGAAAGTTTACCTGTTTGTATATTGTTACTGTGTATACATTTTTTTTTATTAAGAAAGAATAGAAGTTGTTTTTTTAAACTCATAAGCATTATTCTTATTCTGCAAAAGTTCTGTGAAAAATAAACATAGAAAAATGAAATGAAATGTTTTTCTTTTAAGAGAGAGAGGGTGGTGGTGGTGGTGGTGGTGGGGGTTAATGTTTGTTTTTCTAGAGTGTAAATTGAATTCCAGTGCCCACAAGTATCTTTGGAGATTTTTAATTATATTAAAAGTAAATGTAAAACAAACTTATTACTTACCACGACCTAATGAATATTGAAGCGCAGGTTGTGGATTTACTTAGAATATAAAAATGTAGAAAAATTAGTTCTTATTTTCATTAATTCATCAAACATTTTACTTTGGTTTTAAAACGAGATTGCTTGGAGTTCCATTAATTGCTATATTTACTTGCAGTTCTTTTTGACAGAGATTTCTGTATTTAAGTGCTCATCATTTTGTTAGATTGGTTTCGTTTGGACATTGGAAGGTCATCCTAGTTACTTGTACTCCCCTCTGAAGAAAAAAAAAAACGTCCATCACGTGCATGTATAAAAAATATTTTTCTATTACTAAAAATGTCTTGCATCTGTGATTTAAAAATAATTTGGAAAGAAAACTCCTAAATAATCGAAACCCTCATAGCGGCAACACCTTTGAGGATTTTATTTAAAAGTTTACAAAAATTTTAAGACCATCTAAAAAAAATTCTTTTAAGAATCATACGATATGGGACTGCCTTTTCACAAGACGGCTTGGCCAAGATCAGGTGGCCATTTCCACCCGAATGATGTTATATAGATGTAACTCTTTATAGTTACATTTAATCTAAATCTCTTTTGTTGCATTGCAAAGAGCAGAATGAGAGCTTTCCATTGGTATATGATGTCATATACATGTATATAGTAGCGGCATCTTTGAAAAAACAACAAAAATAAGTCAAAGATTCATAATTTATGAAGCATTATGCTGTTGCACTTGACATTTTACATTATAAAAAATGGTTAATTAAAATTATTTTGAATGAAACATTCCAAAATAAATATACATGTACTTCATTATAGAGAAATCATTCTGGCTAAAGTTTATTGTTTACAGAAAAGAAAAAGGATAAATATTGTGGAAATTATGAATAAATGTTTGGAGATATACCTTTGTTATATAGTTTAAGATTTCATCAATGTTTGAATAAATGCATAATTTATAGCAAAGATGAGCAAATATAATGTGTTTAAAATTTTTATTTTACTTTGGAAGAAAAGTACTATGAGAAAAATATATTGGCTATATGGTAAAATGTGTGCACATTTTGTATTTTTTTCCTATACTGATCTAATATTTTGTATAATTCGTAGCCCCATATTTTATTATAGTTTGTGTTCTACAAGAAAGTGCATAATTTATCTTGCTCTTGTTCAATAATTTCACAGTTACCAGTAAAGTTAAAAAACAGTTGTGAATAGCTTTTGCTCTAACATCAAATGAAGTTATAGAAGAATGATTGGTGTCCGTAGCCCTGTATAGTCCGTAGTCCTAATTTTACAACTTCCAGAAAAAGTCATATACATTAATGTTACAGTAACTACAATACAATAATATGTTTATTCGAACAAATGCAATGTTTTTAAATACAAATACCACTCCAATTAAAGATAAAATGTCTGAAAATTAACATTTTTTAACTAAAGGCTTGCTTCTGAAGTCTGTCCTGTTACATGTATGTTTGTGGTCACAACATATTTCTAAACATACATGATAAAGTTTTCCTTCTTGTGATACATACTATCAATCCATTTAGAATAATAAGCATTGGAATATTTTTAAAAGAATATTTGGCCACACACATCCTACTTTTAAAAGGGCTGCAGACTCTACAAATAAATTTAGCAAATTTACAGACCATATAACCGCACTTCTGTATTAGCAAGAGATTTTTTTTTCCTGCCTGCATCTACTGCAAAATGAGCTTCAATGGTTTATTAGTTCCCATCAACCAGTCGTAACATCCCATAGTAGGATTTAATCCCAAAGTATAAGGATCAAGTGACTCCTTATTTTGCAAATAAGTACGAAGTGTGACCTTCACTCTTATAATTGCGCCACCTAATCAACTTGTCACTGAATTGTTAATTTAAAATAAAAAAAAGCATTGATTCTTTATTGATAAACATTGTACTATTATTTTTTTTTTTTTTACTTCAAATAGTCAATCATGTTTTGTAATTTTTTTTTTATGAATTACACCATATGATTATGATCATAAATTATATACTGATACACCAATGACCATCTTGAGCTGTATGTATTACATTAAAATAAAATAAAAGATAAATAAATTAATAATAAAGCAATATAGTCCATAACCATGATAACAACCCCATCCTCCAACCCCTCTCCAAAAAAATAATTATGCCTTGATTTAATTACAGCTCCTGTTGCTTTTATTAAGTTTGAACACATATGATGCTTTAATTAGTTGAATTGGAATTTCATTTGGCATTGAAAATACACAGTACATAGGACAATTGATCTTCAGTCATGGTATTATAAATACTCAAAATAAGTGGTGTGAACTGTTATAGAAACCCAAAGTAATAATAAAAAAATTGCCCAAGATTTTATTATACAATTATATTTTCTTTAAGATGATTGTCCACAATAGAGATGTTTAAACGGCATAGTCCGTAGCCCCAGTGCTCACATGAAATTCATCCTTCTTAGATGCTAAATTAAAGCTCATTCTTGGTCTTTAGATGGTCTTAGACTATATTTTGTTATGAAAACATCAATTACAGTGACTCTGACGTGTATTTTTTTTTTTTGTTCTGATAGTTCACATTTTACTCGTATTTGGAATTTATTTGAAGTTTTTGTTTTATTTTGTTAAATTTCACAGGATTTTTGTATAAATTGATTTAATATCCAAATGAAAGGATTTATTAAACACATGTGAACTCCAAGATGATAATTTTAACAAATATTTACTGATACAAGTAACTATTTTTCTATGGTCTCTCATTAAATAAAAAAATACTCTATGTATAGTCCGTAGCCCAAGGACTCAAAATAGCCAATTAAAAAATATCTGACGCAGTTTTTCTTTGAGTATTAACAAATAAGTTTGAAATTGTCATCCCCATATACAGTTTCTGTTGAAAAATTGAAAGTACTGTAATGTATTTATTCTTCAAATGTCCAAATATTAAGAGTAGAAAAACTCTCCAAGATTAACAAATTTACCCATGTCCTTTATATACTGTAACATTTTAATAGAAATGAATTATGTGATTTTTTCTGCTCCGACAATATTATATGAAGTGTTTGTATTTGAATTATACTTTTTTTGTTCAGTTGAATATGATAAAGATAAATGTTATGCCTGAATATGTATAGTCCGTAGCCCACTTGGGTCTCTGTTATAGTAAGAGTGAAATCTTTTTAACCGCTTGACAGAAATGGACAGAAATTTCAGACAGTCTGCTAAAAGGATGTAGTGTTACATAGAATATACTTGTAATACATTTCATTTGACTTCATTTTTTTGTTAATCTGCAACCAACATGGGCACCTAATCTTGGCCAAGCCGAAGACTATCTCAAGTACCAGAGGTCAAGGCAAGTTCATGTAACAATTTTAGATGTTAAGCTTGCATGAAGTTTTGTTCCTTTTCTTCGATATCTAAAACAAGATGTGTTTGTGAAACACTGGTGCCCCCGTATGGCAGTTTATGGCGAAGGTTAAAGTTTCTCAAATGCAAGTCAAACTCCAGGTTAAAAGATCAAAAATTTTGGTACCCAAAGAAAGGTCTTGTCTCGAGGAATATAACTGTGAAATATGAAAGCTCTAAGACAAACCGTTGAAAAGTTATGGCGAAGGTTAATGTTTTTCAAAACTAAATAAAACACCAAGGTCAAATATGATGCC